TGCTTCCTGGTGAACCAAGCAGCAGCTACCATCTCATGCTTCCCACATCTTTGACTCTGAAGTAGCTGTGCCCACCTCTTCCTGCAACTGGTCTACGTGTTCTGGCATCTCCTAACACCACCCCACACCCAGAGTTCTCATGGAAGAAGGCAGAGATAAAACACACTCACCTTTAATCATGACAGCATGTTAAGCAGGACTCTGAATACAGAATTCACTGCAGATAACAGATTACCTATCGGCCTTCAAGAATCACAGGAGACACATTCTTGCTTTTCAATGTCTTCCACCCTTTGTTCAGTGATGCTTGCTGACAACTTCTGCAAACAACACAGACACAGGTGAAACACTACATCAACTAAACTGTTTCATATTGTTCAGCATTGGACTCAAATACAACTCTAACATTTGGATTTTCACCATCTCTCCTCCAGGGATATTGGCATAAATGGATTTGGTTTAATAATTTTATTAATAAAGTTCAGGCCTCAAATTTGGAGAGGAATACTTTTCAAGCCATTCATGCCAACAGAGTTAATGTAGAGTACTGGGATCAGAGTTTGGATTTGAGTCTACTGCTGATATGAGGTATTTCCATCCTCTGACCTATTGCTATTAAAACAAAGTGCAACATAATCTTTTACTTGGCATGGGGAGGTGCGACTTTATGATGCTGCATGCAGTAAATGGATTGCATTCAATTAAATGCCAGTGAACATGCATCCTTGTAGTTCAGACTCAGATGTACAACAAACAATGCATGCAACACCTAATTCAAACCAGTGCATAAGTCACTCATGCATACAACACAAAAGTGAGGACTCATTATTCTACTATAGCTTTAACAATAAGCATACAAACATATTACATGAACTGCAAACACTGCACATGTTGCAAAAGAATTTTACCTGATTTTAACACTGTTTTTTACAAAAAGCCTGAAGGCACAGAGGCCTGGCCACAGAAGCTTAAGAGTGGCCCCTTTCTATGACGATGATGGTAGGTTTCGGATGAACTTTAACCACTTGCCACACGTGGTTAGCTCAGTAGTCTTGTCTGCTAGTCCTCCTGCTCCTCCACTATGTTGAAAATTAAATGCTTTTGTTTGTCTTGCTGCCCAAGAAAGTCATCTTGACTTCATATGTGTTACAAGAATTATCACTGGGTAATTAAAGATGCAACACGTGGATTCAGCTGGCTTTCATTTATCATTATGTGTAACGGCTGACCATTGTCTGGTGCATCCTATTTGCTCAAAGATTCACATGACATTACATTCATTAAAAGGACAGAATAAATACAATACAACCAATTAAGACTACTCTAGTTCTTCTATTTCCCTTGTAATGAGAGAATCTTGAGACTTCGTATGTGTAATGATAAAGGCAAAACTGTTAGAAATTTTACATAACTGTTCATTTTTCCTTCAACTCAAAATGAGGGCAGTAATACCACTGCAAGGTACCACCAAGGTTATTAAGATCTGATGAAGAGTATGCCAAGTGAAAGTGTTTGGTCACTACTCTCACAGGAAGATAAATGTATTGCTGCAAGTTTTAACATTATATTGTACAAAAAATGAAAAGGCAAAACAAATACAAGTTACAGGATAGGATAGGTAAGACAGCATTAGATGGCACAAGTCAGTATTTCACAGGACTGCAATAAGGAAGGAAAGAAAGGCTGCTGACCAAAGTAGTTACTCTGGGGCTTTGATACAGTTCCTGAAATTGAAGCCAAAGTTCTTCATTTGTCAGATACGTCCATGCATGCACACTGATGTACATACTTTCCTAATGCATTATAACAACTGTGATTTTAAAGCCATTCAAATTGTCTACACAACCTTTCCCCATGAACTTCTTACCTCTAATTCACCAGATAAGTGGAAATCTCAGTCCAATTTTAAGTAATTTCTAAGTGCTCACTCAACAATTTAAGTGCCATTTACAAGCACTAATTTGTTTAATCACAGAGTTGTCTGTGACTGGGACTAACAGTTTGTCTAAAATAACACCAGGAGATTTTCAAGCAGAGCAGACTACATGTCTTACCCTCCCATTACTGAGCCCCACAAGCTTTTTCTTCTAGGAATTGATACTGCTTATTTTACTTTTGGGGATTTGCTCATCCTCAAAGCTGACAGAGACATAAAGTGACACATGCAATAACTTGAAGGCAGAAAACAGGTAAATTTAGGATTCCTAATAACTGACTTCCTGTGTTTAAGCTCTGCAACATGGAGAAAAAGTAAGGTTAACAAAGGAGGCAGGGACAGGCATGTGATGCAGTGCTAGAAAGGGAGTAAGTGCTTTGTATGTGTCAAACATGATGCTTACTTATTAGGAAAAAATGAATCCAGGCTTTCATAATAAATCAAATAACTTTACTCTTTTTTTTTTCTGTTTTTTATTCATACTTAGTAAATACTACATAATGCCAGAAGTCATATCATTCCAAGACAGATCACTTTCTTCTACGACTGGTTTTGAAAGGTCTTGAAAAAATTACAGATACAACAGGTGTGATACATGCAGTAGGATCAATTTATAAAGTTGTGGGCCAGAAAGGGATTGCAGCTGCATCTGTTTCTCTGGTTAGAGGAAACAGCACAGAGATGTTTACACAGAGAAGCTTTTACTTCAGCTATGGACCCTGGCTCCTTGGCTGATGCAGTCACAGCTAACACTACAGACCTAAGCCTTGGCCACACATCATCAAGAGCCATCAGGCTACCAGGACAGGTTTTTTTTACTGGTGTCAAGCTGCAGAGAAATCAGCAATGGACATTCCTAAAAATACATGTATGATGTAGTAGACATAAATGTAACTTTCAGGTGCTTTTATTTTATTTGTAATCAAAGGGCTGCACAGACCATTTGGTACCAGGTGCCTTCTTAAGAGGGAGTTGGTGCCTGTAATATCAGAACATCAGTCTTATTAATTCAGTACATACCTTGAGGCCTACATTATGTTTCTTAAAACACACCAGGAAATTAACTAGCATGTGTGAATTCTAGCAATTCCTTAATATTTTCTTAATAAACAACAGGCTTGTATGTAAAATGCTACATAGCAAAGCATGTGAGCACTGAAAACCTAGGACATGACAAGGGAACTTCCAGAGCCAGACAAATTAATGAAATGCAGATTAACATCCTAGGTCCTGATTCAAAAGCTACCTAAAAACCTAAAAATTTTAGATCAGGAACTACATTACAAAAATGATGAGATTTCATTGTTTAATGATAAATAGAAAACTGTAAATGCAAAATAAAAAGTAAACCAGGAAGATATGGCTTCCTGCTTGAAAAAAAAATATTCTGCGCTGTAGTTAGAGGAAGGTGGAATAACAAAATTATTTCATGTACTGATATATGCTATAACTTCAACTTTTCAACAGAAAAAAATACAATTCCAAGTTTGTTCTACAGTAGAAGCCAATAAACTTTTTGCTTTTTTATTGGAGGAACTACATGGCAAAGCTATTTTGTTTACGTAGACCATATTGCTTCAGATCACCAAATATGCTTATGTATTCATGTCAGAGTAGTGCCTTTAAGCTAGAAAATAAGAAAAGTACAACACTATTACAATGAAGGCATACAGTGAAGGAAACTGTGCAGAAAAATTAAGTTTAATTCACTTCCAGATATAGAAAACAAGCCAAATAATTATCACAACTGTTTCATAAGCGAGTAACACTGAATTTCCAAGTGGTAAACATAAATGTACCACCTGCATTAGAATTACAAGTCTGCTTAGAATTACAAGTCTGAAATAATTTTCAAAGGTCACTGCTGAACTACATCAGAAATGTACATGAAACATTTTTAAAAGTACAGTATTAAAATTATCAAATGCCTCCATAGTCTACATTGTTTGAAAAACGGGATTCTGTCATTTACCTGTCCTTTGGCTTCTATGCCTCTCATCAGTGCAGTACCTTGACAAATTAATGGTTAACTTTTTGTGAGGACTTACATGACCCAATTCAAAGCTGCTGTATGCAAGCATAACTCAAAGTCAGTGCATATAGACCACATGATTAGCATCCAAGCCTAAAAACAAGTGATTGTTCTCAATTAATAAAATAAATATTTAGCTGTTTGTGGTTTGATATATGGCTTATGACATTTATTTATTGTCAACTGCAAGACGCTCAAAGGGTTGAAATTCAAGCACTGTATCCAGTCATATCACTTTATACGTGTTTCTTTGAAAAGGATTTCTTTTATAATTTTAATTCCAGAATTTGAAATGTGGTCTCCAGTTGCTAGAAGACATCAATGCTACATTCCTCTGAAATCAATGACTCGGTTTTTCAAGTGAAAATGCCTGCAAAACACCATTCCTGTAGTTCTCAGAAAATATTCTTCATAGAAAAAAAAAATAGTGGACATTTCTACTTCTTTAGTCTTGTCCTTATATACTGCTCTTACAGAAATACCATGACACATTTAAAGGAACTGCCATAAGAAGTTAATACAAGCTTATTGTTTCTTACACACAGTCTGAAAAAGAAATCATTCTTCTTTTTTTTTTTTTTTTTTGTCTCTGGTATCATTGTGGTGATATATTGTCCTTTATATTCCTTGTGCAGATAGTTTATAATCTGAAAACTTTAAGTAAGAAATTACTATAAAACGCATAAACATGGGCTCCAAACCAGCTCCCTAGATTAATTCTGAGATCATAGATTTTAAGCATATTCTAATTCTCACTGGTGCCCAGATAAGTGCCTTACTTGGCATAACGAACAGGCAAAAGTTTTCTAAAGTAGCTCCTGGCATATCAAAAATCCAAGAGAAAACAGTTTTAAGTCCTGCTGAAACTGTATTAATACCACATAAGGGATTTACATGTAAAAGCAAAATTTAAAAGTGGACTTATGGTATCCAAAAATCCTTTACCATGTGTTTTGCCATCTTTCTGGCCTTTTCACTCTGAGGACACAATTCAGAAGTTACTTTAAAAAACATAGTTGTACAAAATCTTACCTTGCAACCTGCATTCTAGTACTGAAGTCAAGAGATCTCATTGACCGTAAGACTTCTATGCAGCCCAAGTACTGTAAGGAAAAAGAAACAGTTGGAAAATGTATTATAATTAGGCTTGAGTTCTGGGAGAAAGTTCAACTAACCATTAAAAGGCAATATGCAATTTTTATTTTTCCATTTGATTTATCCTATGTCTAAAGTAGGTTGTTGTGCTTATGCTGTACTACATCACAGATTTGTTCCATAAACATTTTGTTTTATTTAAGTGTCACATTTCATTCAATATATAGTTTTATGTTTAACCTGGTCACTGTAATACATTCAATTTATAATGCATTGATGTGTTTTTTTTTTTTTTTTTGTTTTCTTCTATCTTAATCGGTCCACTTTAGATGCAATCAAAGTAAACAATAATGTTAATGAGAAAGGAAGTGTGATAAAGGGAATTTATCTGGTATTGGTTAATAGGACAAAGTTATTTAAAAGGGAGAGAACTAAGTCTCATTAGAACAAAAAAGGTAACTTATAACAGGGAAAGCTGAAAAGAATACCAGCAGCCAAAGCTCTTAATAAACAGTTAAGGGATAGATGTGATTTAGTATTTTCATTTATTATAGTAGTAAAAAGGTGGAAAATGCTAATACAATATACTAAAAATCCATAGTGGGAAATGGCTTTAACAGGGCCATTCAAGAAAGGAATGACATGAAGGTTAGCTAATATTAAGACAAGATCAGACTTTGATCAAAATTTCTGCCCTGCATCTCTGTGGAAAAAAAGGGAGTACCATTATGAAAGATGTTAAAATTCAACAGTATCTATCACTGGGAGTGAGAAAAAAACTCAGGTGAATCTTCTAGATTTGCTTCCAAAAGTGGGCATAACTTGCATATGCTAAAGTCTACTGGAGCTAAAGCTCTTGTCAGATATTTGGATGGTGTCTTTGCACAAACAGCCTCATGACTGGCATAACCCATGGCAGTATCTTTGCATGTAAGTTAAGTATTTAGCCATACACTAGACTTTTGAAAAGTCTGGGGAATTGTGGAGCAGTCTTTACATCATGAGCCTGATAATGATGATCATGATGCTACTGTAGCACTGTTTTTTTATATCAGCTTTTGTATCAGTTTTTTTATCTTCACAGCATAATACAATCTATTTGGGATGAAACTGGTGCAAAAATCAAGAGAAGCCACAATTTTTCCTGTTTGGGAATTTTATTTTTGTTGAAAAGGTAATCTTTTAAACAGAGAATGACTGGATCAGTAACTGTAATATGTAGAATTTCAGTTAAGATTTTCCATAGAAACATGTATGTCATAAAATGTTTACAGGCTGAGGGAATATCAAGTTTGTTTTCACATATCCACTATTACTAATTTATTTCTACCAAGTGCTATGAAGTCATCACAACATTGAATAAAATTAGCTAGAACATCAACTGACTCATACATTAAATTGTTTGAACTTGCATTATTATAGCACACAGTTTCTGAGAAGGGTTATCTCAAGATCCATTTCCTAGAATATTTTAGAAATCTGCAAATCTATGTTTTTTTGAAAAAGTGTCTTGTCTAAAGACATCCTGGAACACAGAGCTTTCAAGCTAAAGATCATACTCTCAAACTGTCATCTATTAATGCAAAAATAGACAATCCTTGTACTTTACTACAAATATATTCCTTCTTTTACATATATGTCTGCCTGAGTACTTAAAACATATACAACTACATTTTCATACTCTGATGAAGGAAGTTAAGCCATTAAGTCTATTTTTAATTATCTCAGAGGGTCATTTCATTTTCTTGGAGATTAAATTCTTCAGCATCACTTGAGATAATCAGCTGAAATAATTTAACATATGCCAATAAACAGCAACGACCAATATTTTCCTGTTTTCTTTCTGTGACATTTTGTTTTAGTCCAGGATGCTTTCATAGATTAATTTGCCCATCATTTATTTCATATGAGATAGTTTTGTAATTAACTATGCTCTAAATGGTATGACTATTCAAAGGTATCCCTGTGATTTTTTGTTAAAGAAATTTCATTATTTCACCAACCTGTTAGCTTAGACCTGCAATACTAAAACACTCTTGGATTGCACTTGTTCCTTCACTTACCTATATTTGCCACAAGTCTTTTAAAACAAAGTAATTGCACGAGTTTGAGAACCAGGTCCAGCATTTTGGAAGCAAACTCTGGAAGGTATTTTGACAAGTACATGCAGGCGTGCAAATAAATACACAAAAACATGTGCACACAAGCCACTGTCAAAATAAATAGACGAATAAGTAGACAAAAACCCATAAACATACTTAGAAGACGTGCATTCAGACCCCTTTGAGTCACACTACCTGATCTGCATTAACAAAAATAGAGACAAGATCAGACTGAAGGAAGGTCAGATGGAAAAATTACCCTGTACTTGTTTTATGTATATCACGAAGACAGCTGAACACAACATAGTAAGGCTTGCAGTATTCCTGACTGATCAATGCAAAGATGGCAACTGATTTGCTGGGATAAAAGATGTGAACACTTAATCACCATGGCATGTTTTCAAGTAACGAAATTACTATAAAAACTGACATTCAAAAGGTCCAAAGGCCAACTACAGGGACATATAACTCACCTACTGCTATGCTTCAATTATTCCCCAAGACCAACACTGCTGTCTAAAAATATCCATTTGAAGTACAACCTGACAAGGATCCACAGAAAGAAGACATACAACCAAGATAGCAAGGAAATAAATTATTCATTTATTTCAACAAATAAATACCCTGATTAAAAAGAAATGCTATCTTTTGCTTTAGGCATTCCATGAAACATTTAAAATATAGTTATAAAACAGTCTCCTTCTAAAAAAAGCTCCTCTTCACCCAGCACTTAATGTATATTCTAACCAATCAGCTACTGTGCACTGTGAAATTTATGAGCTCCTGCTATCATCCTCCTTCTCATTGCTCAGGAACCAAACATATCGAGATGCAGCCGACCTTGAAGTAGGTGGATTTGGGACTACCAGTTCCAAGCTTTCTCAGATAACATTCTGCCTTCTGTTGACTTTCTAATATTTGAATGAGTTTCCGGCTTCTGTACGCTGAAAGGTACTATGTCCCAAGGAAAAAAATCTTTCATATGAATGAAAACCTTCCCATTCAGAGGTTTTAGATTCATAACTTGTACTTTTCATGCTAAACAGTACCTTGCAGGAAGCAGAGTGCCACATACCAGTGGGACCATGCAGCTCTTATTCCAATGTGGCTCCAATATCCCTATTAGTTACAATTTTGAGAGGTTAGTGTAAGAGTAGGCTACATGTCTCAGATTTCTGGTTTGTCCCATGTGCGAAGATTTGTTCCGTACTCCCTAAAGTACCTGTGTTCTTTACAACTCAAAAAATTCCTATACAGAAACTAAAATTTTTAACTGACTCCTGTGTAAAAGAGGGTATTGAGATCTCTCAACAGTACTGAGAAACAGACACAAGCGCTGGCTGAGTGCATTTGTGTACTTGGAGCCAAGAGAAAAAAAAAGAAAATAAAAGAAGAGAAAAAAAGAAAGAAAAGAGAGTAGTCACTGTCAGAGAAGCCCTTTGCTCCAGAAATATGAACAACCTTGTTTTGTGCTTCCTAACAAGCTCTTCAAAATACCAGGAAATTCTCCATTGTTGGACTGAGAGGCTGGCAGTAACAACAGCAAGAAATACTTTTATAAAAATCTAGCAAGACTTATTATTACATCAAGATGTAGCTCCATACAGCACTGAAGCAGTCCAACATGTCTAGCAGATGAGTGTCTGCCTTGTGCATAGCATATCTACTCATCACCTATTCTCAAATAAAATAAGAACTCCCAATCTTTGAATCCAAACTACCTGAGTATCATTAGCTCATCAAAACTGTATGGGTATTCTTAGTAAATTGAGATTTACTGGTTTTAATCTGTGTAAGTAGATGACCACCATCAGATATGAATGGTTCACTACTTTGCAGCTTGTACCTGCCTTGTGCAAGTCACTTGAGAGATAACAGGGTGACATCAGCAAACAGACGTACAATTATATTACTAGACAAAAATTAGCCTGTGCCTTCAAATATTGATGTATCCAAAGTATGCTCTAACATGGCACAGCTGCAGATAATAGCCTGGGGGCTCAAAAATTAGATTCCTGGGGTTCTGGGTGTTGTATGGAGATCTAAGTTTCAAAAATAGAAATAAAATAAGCTGGGCAATTCACTGCAATTTTCTCACCCACGGGCTTAGGTTGTGCTTTTACTTGGCATGTGCAAAAGGGAAAAAGTGAGTATCTTTTTACTTGCCACATCTCGTTCTCATGTGTATCTCAAGTCATACGCCTACGTTTTCTTTCTTTTCATTTCTTAAGGGATGGGGGAATTTGTTTGCTTGGTTTTGAGGGTTTTATTGTTTTACATTTTATTCTCATTCACCAAAGAGCTAGTCCAGAATTACATTATGCCCTGGAAGTAAATGAGTAGTTAGTATGAATTGACTAGTGCTAGTTAGCTATGGTTGAGGACTCCCTTATTTAAAAATAAGAGCTTTTATTTCAGATTCTATTGCTATTAGTGCAATACGCATTTATTTATGCATCACTCTAATTTCAGGTATCACCACTAACAACTAAAGGAGCTTGTGAAATGTGCACTGGGAGTTCCCCAATGTACCACAAAACTGAAAAATTACTTTAAGGTTTGCTATCTACCCTAAATCATATTAAGATTCAAATCCAGATGCCCACTAACAAGCAGGCCATAGTACAAAAACAGTAACAGCCCAGGACTTGATTTCAAGATAGTAAGTTTGTCCACATGTAACTGTGGATTTGTACTAACAATATTGATGTGTGAAAAGGAGAAGAGGGAAAAAAAAGAAAAGAAAAAAACTAACACAAAAGCAGTCCAAGTAAAAAGCAGCCCAAGCTATAGCCAGAGACTGCAAGATTGATAAGTATTTTATAAAATGAATTTTTCTCTTCAGCAAATTAATATGAAACCCTATCCTTCAATCCCTTTGATATCATATTAGATTTAATTCCCAG